TAATCTACTGAATAAAAATGGCAAAATAATTTAGCCTTATTAAGATTAAAGTAATGAATAAAAAGTAATCAAAAATCTTAGGTGAGTGAAAAAAAATGGGTACAGCCATTTTGAAAAATTCTCAAGGTGGAATATAATACTATCTTAAAAACATTTATTTTTTTATTTTTATGTGGTACTAAGGATTGTACCCAGTGCCTCACATGTGCTAGGCAAATGCTCTGCAACTGAGCCACATAATTTGTGAAACTGTTGATATTTTGTCAGACTGCTTTTCCTATTATTTATTTCTTGGTGACAAAGAAGTTGAAGTGAAGTAATTCCAATATTAAGTACTTCCAAACATGTTCATTTGTGAGTAATGGAAAAATTAGTTGAAATTTTAACAGTAATGGACATTATAAAATGCGAACGCTCAATCAGTTTTGGTAATTAAACCATAAAGAAAAGTGGATTCTCATATATTCCTGTTAGTAAAGGCTTATCCCTACTTTTATTGCTGTATCAACAATTTCAGACTTACATCTTCTGAAGTTCATTCGTGGGAAAAGGGAATATCATAGTAGCCCAACTGGTATGTACTCCAATCTGTGACTAGTTTAGATAACTCTTATGACCCTGATAAAAGATGGGTCTGTGAGATTGGCTTTGGCGCATGTTGCCATATTATCCATATCAATTACAAGGAAAGGCTTTTATATATGTTCTCTCCCATGCAAATAGCAAGAACGTTTGTGATCACCATCCTGCCATCTATGGTGTGCTACCATGATCCTCTTAAAATTTGTGTTGATTAGAGCATATTCAGATGTGGAAATGATGCAGATGTGATTTTATTCCATATGCTAATCCTGCTTTTGATGAAATGTAATTGACTTCAATTTGAAAGTGCTTGAATTGGAATCATTGGAATTCCTTACAGGTTAAATCAACACTGGGAAATGGAATCTGCATTAAAATCTTTGGAGTATTGTGTCTATCCTGCTTAATTATCATAATCTTGATAGTCTCTGTGAACTGAGGCATAAGAATTTTTCTATGCTATCTTTGCATACAAATCAGCAAGAGATTCTAATTCAGATATCTAAATATTGTGTACACTAGTGAGAAATTATACCAAGATCTAAATTGGTCTGTTGGTGGAGTTTGCCTGATACTGATTTTGATAATTCTTCTTAACTAAGCCTTGACATTGATTTTTCAGAAATCTCACATAAACATCTCCTCAAGCTACTTAACATACTTATTATACATTCATTTTGTAAACTAATCAGGGGAAACAGCACATTTTGTTATTTGATATTATATTCTCCAATTTGTAGTTGATATCTAATAATCCCATCAATATTGTGAATGCAAATTAAGAAAACAAAAATTATGAGAGATCATGTATGCTACATAGAAGCACAATTATGAAGAAAGCTGTACAGGTCTTAGGAGGGGGACAGGTTTTAGTTCCAACTTTGTTACTGATCAACAGTGATCTTGCACAAATCACTTAAGTTTTCCGAGTCCAATTCCTCAAATGAAAAATGTTTTTCACACTTTGAATCCATTCACTGATTTCTTCCGTGGACAAATATTTGTCAAGCAGTTATTATGTGCTGGGTACTCTGATAGGCATTGGAGATAGAAAAATGAATTAAAATAGACATGGTCCCTGATTTCACAGAGTCTATAGTGAGGAAGATTGGTATCAATCAAGTAATTTCAAAAACAAGTGAAAATTTTATTTATAACAAGACCAATGGAGGGCTAATTAGGCATGGAATGGATCAAGTCAGGGAAGTCAAGACAGGCTGGAGAAAAGATGATTGAGTTGATAATTGGATCAATGAAGGTTTTACTAGAAGAAGAGGAAAAGGAACCATGATCCTGATCCAAGAAGCTTCAAGTGGTAGGTATGAAAAATTGAAAGGCTAGTGTGCTTGGACAGGAATGAGGATCAGATAGATGGTGTGAGCAGCTGCTTCTCTTTTTAAAGCTATAAAACACTGTAAAATTGCAGAGTGACATTATTAAATTAGGTAAACAATAGATTCCCAGGGATTTTCAATGGGAATTAAGGCTGAAATAAAGAAAATACTTGATTCTTCATTATTTATAATGGCTTGTTTTTAAATACAGGACTGATTAACAAACTTATAGTGAATTCCCATCACAGTCCTGGCACTGGGCAGGCAATCAGAATACAAAGATCAAACATGACCTCTTCCTTCAGGAGTTTACTGATGATTTGCAAGTAGGGTTTATTGGTAACTTCAAATTTATTTCCATAAAACAGTTACAGAATAAAAACAAATCTTAAAAAAAATTATTTCTACATTTCCCCCCAAACTCTTATAAACTAAATACTAAATAAAAACAAAATCCAAGCTGCAGACATCAGAAATAGAGGGATTTTGAAGAATCATATGGTAAAATTGGCCTCTACTTAACAGAGAATCGATTTTTGTCATCATTATTAAGCACTTACTACATTTACTCTGCATTTTAGTAGATTCAGTGTATGTGTGTGCGACTGTACAAACCACACAATATGCATTGGGAAGTGCATCAGAATGTATATCACTGTATTTAAAATGAAATAAAAGTTAACCCAGAAGTCTAAATATATCACAAACTGTATTGAGTACTATTTAACAGGTACATAATCATTCTAGTATTTTTCCCTTGAGTCTAGAAAAATTCACATTGTCTCTGTTTTTCTTATCAGGAACAACTCTAGTTCATCTCACTGAACCTTTTCTTACAGGTCAGTATATTAATTCCCATTTTTAACAGGGGATTTATAAAACCTAGAAATGTTAATTATTAGTAACTTTGGGTTAGTAAGACATAATGTATATGAGTTTGGCTTCTGAAAAAGTATTTCAAACAAGTACTTTACAAGGCTTTTCCCACTAATATTAAATAATGTTTAAAAATTGAGTTTAGGTGCTGGGGGTATAGCTCAGTTGGTAGAGTGCTTGTCTTGCAAGCCCAGGGCCCTAGGTTCAATCCCCAGCACCAAAACAACAACAAACAAACAAAATAAGATTAAGATTACGTACCTCATTTGAATCAAATGTATGATATATCAAGATCATTGTAATGTTTTGAGCAACTAATAAAAAATTTTTAAAAAATAAAAAAAAACTGAGTTTAACTTGTTTCTGATCAGTTTATGTAGACTGCATATAATTTGGTTTCCAAGTTTTATTCTTCACTGTCACTCGTGTTTTGTTTTTTAGTTGTAGATAGACACAATATCTTTTTTATTAATTTATTTTTATGTGATGCTGAAAGCGAAACCCCGTGCTTTATGTGTGCTAGGCAAGTGTTCTACCACTGAGCCACAACCCCAGCTCCTTATCATTTGTTTTTAATATAGCAATTACAAGAGTACTAAATCGGTCACATTTTTAAAAAAGAGAATATAGATTGAAAGAAAACATTTATATATATTTATATATATGTGCATGTATATATATATATATAAAATATAAATTTTAACATTAACTCATTTAAGTATTTTAGGTGTAAAAGTAGCAATCGGCTATTTCATTATAGCATTTCATCATGGTGATTATCAGCCTTGAGTAGCAGTGGTTAGGCAGTAAGTTTTTCCTTATTTTAAAGCAAAGTTATTGAGATGAATGTATTAAGAATTGGCATGATCCAATGTAGGTTGCAGAGAGATGAAATTAATAAAATTAGTAAAAGGTATTAATAAAACCAAAATCTCCAAGAAAATGACATTAGAATATTAAAACAAAATCATAGGGAATTCAGGGCAGAAAGTCATTGAATTCATTGTTATATTTACTGATATATGAGCTTATTGGTATATGACCATTAGTGGTAATGTCCAAAGTAGACTTTAGGTGAAAAGTTACTTTGATGTTCTTCTCAGGCTCTACTTCAGGTCCTATCACCTCCACAGCTGCAAGTACAAGCACCACAGCCCGACCGAGCCCCAGCTTCACTAGTTCTGGAGTCACCACAGGTAAGAGCAAAGGATACTGGTCCCAGAGGAAGGAATGGTTTGAGGCAATCCTATTCAGTATCTTTCTAAATCAAATATCAGACTTAAATGATGACTCTTTATAGGTAATATTTTAGTGTTTCTGTATTGCTTTTTATTTTATTTATGATTACTTATTTTAAAATCTGTATGTATCTTTTTATAATTGTGTTCCCATGACCTGGGTTTGTTTATTCAACAATTATCAGGGACAACTGGAGAGTCTCCAGCTGTAACCACAGCAGCTGGCAATGGAAGTACAAGTGAGACGGCCTTCACAACAGGTGAGATCAAGAAATGGATCAAATGTTCTATTACACAGTGTATTTCCACAACTAGTCCTTTGTTGCTACTCAGCAACAGCTCTGCCCTGCATAGAATCTTAGATAATGGGTGAATAATATCTGATAAGTCTACTGGAATACTTTGGGAAAATTCAATGATAATATTGACATATTAATAAGACAGTGATTTTTATTAGTCAACTCTTGGTTGAAATACTGAGACAGGAGAACTTATGAAGTAAAAAGGTGTATTTACATAACAGCTTTGGGGGTTCAAATATTCCATGCCTGCACAGTCTCAGTTCTGGTGAGGTTCCTCTTGGCTGTGTCACTTATGGTAAATGGCAATGGTTCTGAGCCCACCCAGGAGCAACATAACATAAAGACAAAGATCATGGTGGTTCAGGTTTCTACAACCAGCTTTCAGGAGAACTACTTTAATCCCTTCCTAATGGCATCTTCCTTTGTTGACCTAAGGACCTACCCCCCAGGCTCCGCCTCTAACAGGGTACATACCACCTCCCAGTACTGCCACCCTGAGGACCAGCATCTAACATGTACACCATGGGGAATATCCAGACTATACCAATGATATAGTTCTCTAGTACACTAAAGTTTCTGAGTTAAGCTTAGGTAAATTAGCCAACATCAACACCCAGGTATTTCTGCGCCATTGATCTCATGGACTGAGAAACTAACAACAGTACCCAAGTGGCAGAGGCTCAGCATTGTGTTAATAAGTCCTTTGGGCAGTTGTTGCTCATGGAAATAGAGGACCACTGCTCTGTCATTTCCATTCTTTCCCAAATTCATGTCCAGCTTGCACTCTGCTGTAAATGAACAATAGAATGAAATTTACAAAACTCGGCTATCATCACGTTAATTAAAATTCTTTAATTGTGCTGTTGATTTGAAGATAAATCTTAAAACTCCTTTATATTACCACTAAAATGCCACTTATTTGGTGTGTGCATGAGGGTTCTTTTTATGTTTTTATTAAACAATCCCTGGCCTTATTTTTCTACATTATTTTCTAGGAGGAATTATTTTGACTTCAATTTATGACAAATATGTTTATAATAAGATAATTCACATTAAAAATAGAGTTGAAATATATAATCTACATAGAGAAGTATAAAATAAGAAACTTATTTTTTTGTATTTTATTTGAATATTTACACATTTTACAAATCTGTTCAGTGAGCCAAAATAAAATATGAATCATGAATCTCTCTATCCCAAACTCATTGAGCAACAAAGAGATAAATACAAAGCTAAACTCAAAGGCCTGTTTCTAACTGTCCTAGAGGTATCATTAAACTATTGAAATTTTAGAGTGATGATCATTTAGTTTACAGCGCCTAAAATCAGAATCAGAAACCCTTGAGTAATAATGACAAATCTGTTAGCTATGTATTTTTGTTTTCAGTCACCATGTATCATTGTTTGGAATAGTATTTAGTGCTCAGTGGGTGGCATCCCCAGGAATGAGGTACTGGTGTTTGATGTGATGGGAACTAAAATGGAGAGCAAGCATTTAGAGAAATAGAAAGTCAACAAAATGTTCTTATTACTACAGGGTAAATCTGTGTTTTGCATCACTATTTTCAATAATTTCATTTCTCTATTCTAATACCATTTTCAAAATATCAAGACAAGAGAGACTGGGAATTTTGTTTTGAGTTACAGATTGAGAAGTACAGAGATGTAGTCTGGAGCTAGACTGCATGAGTTTGCCCTCTGGATCTGATATGAGCCAACTGGGTGTCCTGGACCAAGTCACTTACACTCATTTCAGAAATGAGTATAATGCTACTTGCCTCAGAGGATTTTTTTTTTTTACAGGGCTAAATGAATGGATAGATGTCTAAAGCATTTTGTTAAATGTTTTTTTGTTTTTTTTTTTTAATGTAGGAGGAGCAGGAAGCCCAACTGCATCAACACCTAGTGGGAAGGAGGGTAGCACTCCTGGGGAACATAGCACTGGATCTATAAGCCCAGGAAACTCAGGTAAGTAAATATGTGCAATTAGTGCCTATTAAAAATGTACAAATAGCAAAATGTGTAGACTGTTGAATGAATGATAAAAATGTGAAAGAGATTAAAATTTATATTTTAATCTTCCAATCTCCTCCTTCAGAGGAATTAGCATGTATTGAAGCACTGCTACTGCTTCTGCTATAAGAGGGTCCCTGGGAACAACCTCAGGAGCAGACAGGGACAGCACTTATGAACCATCAGGCACTGGGGCCACCAGCACTGAAAGCCCAGCAAGCAAGACAGAGACTCTTGGGGGATGTGGTGGGGTCCAATTCAAACTTTAACAAGATCGTATAATGTGATAAGCAGATTAAAGAAAGGTCACCATGAACGACATTAAAGGAAATAGTGACAAGAATAAAACTAAAAAATGTCCTAAAAAAAGAACATTTTCCTCATACCTATTCATATACTAAGGCATCATTCTTCTTCCCATTAGCAACAAGTGGAAGAACAGATATGTCCACCACTGTTTCTGCTGGTGACATCACATCTGGAAGAACAGGTACTGAAGGAGAATAAGCAGTATGAAAATTAGTAGACACGAGCTTTGTGCTCAAACTTAATCAGAGACAGGATTTCTTGGGAATCTGACTGTTGTTATTTAATATGATGCCAAGTATCCAGAAGGTCAGAAATAGACATTAGATATTTGTTGTGTACCTACCGTTGTGTTAGAATCTTTGTGAAAAGTACAAAAACATTGGGAAATATACATTTTCCCACTCCAGTTCACATCTAAAGGGAGGGATTAATACATGCAGACATAGAAGACAAAGGGTAAAAAAGTGGGGAAAAGATATGAACTGGAGAACAAGGAATTCAAGTAAGAATAGACAAAAATCATTGTTTTAAAACATGGAAGCAACTCCTTGATTTCTACATTTTCTGTTCTTTGTTTTTGTTTTGTACCTGGGATTGAAGCCACGGGCACTTAACCATTAGGCACACCACTAAACCTTTTTAATATTTTATTTAGAGACAGTCTTACTGAATTGCTTAGGGCTTTGCTAAGTGGCTGGGGCTGCTGGCTTTGAACTCGAATCCTTCTGCCTCAGCCTCCCAAGCTGCTGAGATTACAGGTGTGTGCCACCATGCCTGGCTGGATTTCTATAATTTCTTAATAAAGAATGCTTTATTAAAATCACTGCATTATCAGCATTATATGATTCACTTGATTTAGCTCTAACAGGAAATTAAGATGCAAATGAAGTTTGTGGGATTGACACATCCACTTTGGTAAAGGAAAAAAGCAATCATAAATAGGTCACATTCATAACAGAATCAAACTTTAGATTTATTTAAGACGACATTTTTCCCTTGATAAATATCAGGCACACCTGGGGCATCATCTGGAGTAACCCCTGAAGCTTGAGTTGGCAGCACCCTGGGAGAAACAGGCACTGGAACCGCAGGTTCTAGTAAGATCCACCAGGTTGGACAAGCCTTAGTACCTCCCATGCATTGCATCCTACACTTCGTGTGCTCTGTGATACCCCCTACATGGGTTTAGGATAGGGCTGAGGAGAGGTGGAGGAATAGTGTTTTTCACTTTTTGTTCCTGCCAATCTCAAGTGCTCATGGTAGTGGCAGGAGTCGCATGCACACTTCCCCGTCTCCAAATTTGTTCTTGGTTCCAGGGACCACAGGCTCTATCACTACCAGTCCTTCAGCCTCAGCTACCGGAGCTTCAACCTCTGCAAGCTTAACCTCAGGTAAGTTAGTGGAAGAAGTTCATGAGTTTGCAGGGGTAAAATGGGGAGTGTAAGTACCTCCCCATTTCTTTTCTCTGGACTATGGCAAAGAATAGAGGAACTAGTAAGAGACTTGAAATAGGGAACCCAGTCCCTTACCAACAGTATTGGTAGTAATGCAATGTACTGTAGGTAGCCATACAATGTCTGAATTAAATGATATTTCTAATATCTTGAGAAATCATGGGATTCCTGAGTATTATATCATAATGATACTAGGGCTCCAATCATGGAAATACTAATGCTTTGAGTCTTGAATGGGGTCTAGAAATCCTGATTACAAATTAGAATCAATTATAGAAAAGTTTGAAATAGGTATCAGGTTCTTCAAGTTCATTGACTCTCATTTTTATTTTTTTTTCCTGGCAGAAGGGCCCAAATGTAAGTATTCATGAAAGCTTTATTGTTGGTTCCAATAAGCATCCTGAGTTATAAAGCACTGGGCTCCAGTATCTTACTATTGTATAAGTAAACAAGTTTTTCTGCAGTCAACAAATAAATAGGCACACATAGGAATTCTAATGATCACACAATATTGTATGATCAATTTTTAGAAAGAGTGCATCAGAAACAGAGAAGTATAAATGAATATATAAAAGACATTTTGAAAGCAGAGAGCAAGAACCATGTTCTGCTATTCTATTTTATTAAAGGTTCTGATGTATGTGTACCATTTACTTTGAAAGGCACTACTGGACCACTAGTTACTGAAACATCTAGAGCCCAAAACAGTGAACTGACATCACCTGGAGATAAGTCAGGTGGGCAGAGAATGATGTTCAGAGATCCAGGTTTTTGTCAAATGGGAGAGTCATTTATGGGAACTCTACTTATTTTGAAGCAAAGTAGTTGAGAAAATGAATGAGGATGCAGAATGAATCTATCAAAATGGAGAAGGGTGTTTTTATAAGAACCGTGCCCCTCTTCAAAGCAGTAAGTAAACCAAAATATTGGAGAAAATAATATGTCACAATCTTAGGTGAATTCTGGCAGGTTTAACCATATTAATTTAGTCTGTTGGAATAAAATATTGCAATAATAAATAAGTTATTTTAATGGAGTCAGACTACAAAGAAGATGAGATAGAAAATAACTCAAATACTTTATTCCAAGTGTATGTCCACAGTCATCTGTTTCTACTCAGCAACAAATTACCCTGAGTGCAGTTTTAGGTAAGATGGACCAGGTACCAGAGCTACTTACAGATGACTTTGTGAAAAATTAAGAATTAAATTTAGATATGAATAAAATGATAAGCATTATGGCTTAGTAAAACTTCAAATTATACTCACATAATATGTAAATTTTCCGACCTTCATCATGGTGGTTACATATCATTATTTCTTTGGGGTATGAAAATAATAAAAGCCTCTAAGCTGTCAATGCAGTGTTAGACTGCTAAATCTCATGGCATTTGCTGACTTCCCAGTTCTGTGACTTGCATATAAGAGTTCATGTCTGAAAAAGCTAAGAAAAGCATGCTTGTTCTCGTACATTATTGACTAAATTTTAACTATTTTTAGTTTCATCAGTAAAAGATTG